ATTTACGGCCCAGCAGGGCAAGTAGATCAAGTACATCAAGTATACGACGTACTCGATCTAGTATGGATTTGGTCATATCTGCCTCTCTGAACATATTACCATCCACAATTTTCAGTTTCGCCAGCATGCCAAACTTTGGTCACAGCATTTTTTCGTTCGAAGATTTGATAGGTCGTTTCAGCGGAGTCGAAAATCTCCCCTATGACCGCATTTCTCGCTAAAACTATGAATTGTCGGAATGGGTAATTGTTCAGGGATGGAGATTTATCGCACCATTACTAGTCGGTACGTTGTATACTTGATGTACTTCTCTCTGGCCGTAATTTCGCGAAGAATTCGAAAATTAGAGTTCTCTCTCTCACACAAAGAGAGTGTTTTGCGCCACGGAATAAAACGCATGCGTTGACTGAGACCATTACACGGAGGCCACGGTGGCACTGCCGAGGCATCGATCAGCAGCGCTTACGAGCCAGAACTCAAACTTTGACCACCCAGATCTCGTCTGGGAGGTCCCCGTAGCACTTTTAATCTGCATATTCGTAATCAGCATTCGAGGCTCTATCGATGTACCTAGGTCTCCATTCAAAGTTCCATGGGAAGTTCAAACCATTCCCTTGTTAGCCCACCCATTCCTCGCCCTGTACTACTGTCAGTCCGGACTAGTAGCAGGTCGGTTCCATAAAGGGATTGCAAATGATTTCTTTGCCTTATTATTCACTATTGAGCCACTTACCACCCTCTTATCCATAGTTAAGCTCCGACACCCAGAAATTGTGATGCGGGACAAGAAGATACGCTGCACAGTCACCTCCGAGGATTCCACTTCTCGCCATGTGCGAGAACTGGGACCCTCGGAGGTGACTGTACAGGTGGACGGATCCGCAAGTGTAGAAATGTGTCTCTTTCGTCATGGAAACAAGGCTTGAGGGCATGTAACTGGATGCCAGTTATGTTATGCCAGTTGGTGTTCTGCCAACTGGCATAACACGCAGTTCGTGACACGCCACACTACCAGCTATATGCGTAGCCAATGCAATCGCGCTACTTGTCTGCGTCTCTCTCGTTTGGATGGGGAGCCGTTGTTCAATACACTTGGCCGCTATAGCCAGTTTGCTCTTCTTGTTATTCGTTGCAGGACCCCGGCGACAACGCATTCGCTGCAGTTTGCAGTGAACGTTGGGTGAAAACCCAAACAGCGTCCACCCTTCACTTCGCTCCAGCTTCATTTCCGCGCAGTTTCGACTGAAGAAACTGACGTCCTTCTACCGCTCGTGGACCCATTCGCCTCCGCATGGTACGCATCCACATCGCAGGCATTGCAGCTTGTCTTTAGGATTAGCAGTAGTTACATGGTAATCTTACCTGCATATACGGTGGAAAAGGACTGTGCGATGATCGCGATGATGGAATATATGAGGAGTAATGTTCAGAGGTCGACGTCCCAATATCTTCACAGCTTCCTTGATACGAATAGCCACTTAGCTCCCGGGTAACTTCCTTCGACTGCCCAAATCAACTGACGAATTCACCGTAGAAGAGAAACTGCTGCTGTACTTTGCCTCTTTAAAGAGCTACAATGAAAAGACCTTATGGTAAACAAATGTGATCAACAAAATGTGAAAGAGTAACAAGAGAATTCAAAGGGTTAACTGTGCAGAAGGAGAAATCATAGCACATCTTTGAGGTAGTAATCATAACTGGGCCATGTTTTCTCGTATTTTGCAGAGAAATTTCCACAACACGATTATGTGCCTTGCGGGATTACCCTCATCTGAATGGGATTACCTGCCTCGAGCTGTTTCATCCATCTCGTAGCCCTTAGTTGTAGACAAAAACTCTCATTCTCTTTTACGGCGATTCCCGCTTTGCAGGAGTAGCTCTCTGAGTACCACAAAGGCTGCGTTCATACTTAGCGGCATCGTCCACCGGCGACCATCAGCGTCTCGAGGGACTAGGAAAGTATGGATATCGATCTAGCGTCTACCAGCGTCTACCAATGTCTACCAGCATCCAGCAGCGTCCACCTGCGACCATCAGAGTCTCGAGGGACTCGGAAAGCGTGGATATCATCTAGCTTCTAGCAGCGTCCACCAGTGATCAGCAGTAAAGAGTATGGGGAAGTGTGGGGTAGTAGGTAGACTGCTGGTGGAGTATGAGCCCAGACCGTAAGACTCAACGTCATCCGGCAGGGGTCTCCTCGGGGACCGCACTGGTCTCTCCCCAGTGCAGCCTCCGCTCCCCGAGGGTCTACAGGGTTCCTATCCCAGGGGGGTCGTGGGGGAGCTTGCGGTAGCACTGTCCCCACGGCTTGTCGTAACCAGGGGGGGGGGGGGGGGGGGGGGGGGGGGGGGGGGGGGGGGGGGGGGGGGGGGGGGGGGGGGGGGGGGGGGGGGGGGGGGGGGGGGGGGGGGGGGGGGGGGGGGGGGGGGGGGGGGGGGGGGGGGGGGGGGGGGGGGGGGGGGGGGGGCCAGCAAGGACCAGCCCAGGGTTCCCTGGCCGCCGGACGCGCAACGCGGGTAGGGCAAAAGACACCCAAGGATCCTTACAAAATGGACATGCACAAAACCTACAGCGCCTTAGTCGGGCCCCAGCCCTGGCGCTCCCCTATGCTTGCCCTGAATACATGAGTAAACAACACAAACAACACAAACTATAAACACTCACATTTATTGTTGCGGGAAACCATGAACATCTGCCAACCTTCTCTTCCTACTCTCATTCCTGCCGTTGTGGACGACCAATCCATCGGACCATAGTTGACATAGTTCGCGGTAAGAGCGGCAAGGTTACTCTGCCGGCCTTGCACTGCACGTTCGCACCACGTGAGCCTGGCATTGACCTTCTCTACAGGCAGGAGAAGAGTATTCTCCTCCCCGCAGGGAAGGGTGCCAAGAGAGCAACGCTGCGCGGAGTCTCTCGCCGGCCGCTTTATATAGCAGCACGCAGCGGGACATCACGTGGCCCGCGCCTATTGGTTGACGCGGAGCAGCGCATAGTTTGGCCGTAGGGCGCGACAGAGACCGACAGGGAGCTCAGGCCTCTCGGCAGAGCCCGGGGCAACAGTCGCGTTCCGCGACACACCTGTACAGTCACCTCCGAGGATCCCAGTTTTCTCGCACATGGAGAGAGCTGGGATCCTCGGAGGTGAATGTACAGCGGTGAATAATAAGGCAAAGAAATCATTTGCAATGCCCTATGTGGAACCGACGCTGTCTACTAGACTGACAGTAGTACAGGCGAGTGAATGGGCCTGGGGCTAAGCATGAGTTTTGCTTGTTTTGTTTCTTGGAGTCACGCGATATCCAGCTTTTTCCTCTCATCCTCCTCTCTCCTCATTCTCAGCGTTCCAAATTAAAATGGTTCGATAGAAAGAGCGCGCCATGAGGCGGCCTTTGAAAATGACCCAGAGATGGCTGACCCATTGGAAGATTTTTGATTATTTTTGTTGGTTAAACTGCTTACGAACATTTTCCTCAATTTCACAGCAACGTGAAATGCTGGACGCCGAAACACAAACCGATCCGCACGATATGTGTAATTCTTCTCCCGAGGGAAATTCAGGCTATGCTCACTATAATGATGAAGGATTCGTCATTCCATTGTCTCGTAGAGAAAAGTCGCGGCAGGTCTGGTCTCGCCTAACTTAAAACGTTCATAAGCGTACACACTCGGGCCTTCTCCAAAGCTTGGCATCCTGTGAGGTCTTCCTTGATATGCTGCTAGGGCCGAATAAAATTGTTAGAGTGACAAACCCCGCGACTGCATATTATGGATAGTGGCGTTCAGTAACGAACGTATAGTCGCCAAGTGAGTTCCCAGGAAGGAAAAAAGCAAAAATAAAATTATGGAGAATATCACAAAGCCCCTGGCCGGCTCACTGTACAAATTTTCCGGACCGGGTTTTTTATGCCAGTAAAGCGATATCCAGCACCCTCTGGCTCACTAATCGTTCCTTTGCGTCATCCTGTGCCAATACCATCCAACAAAGAAAAGAAAGCGAAAAAAGAGGTGTAAGCGTTGAACCTGTAGCATGAAATATACCCTTTTGGTGGGTGGGCAACTAGGGAGGCGTCAGAACTGTTCTTTTGAGGGCCGAAGCTCCTCCGTTACTGCCTGTGAAGCCGCGGAAAACTAGCAACCTTATAATGAGAACCAGACTACTTGTACAAGGAGGAACGCCTACTGCTTGAGCGCGGGGAATGTCTTTAACATCATGGTTCTGGCTATGGCAGTAATTCAGAGATGACCTCAAAGCTTGTAGAGCAAATATCCGACGCTCCATAGTTTTATCACAAACATTCCACTACGTTTGATTATAGAGATGTCGTACTTCACTCCGAATGAAGGCTGCGTTTTCCA